GCCCATTACGCGCGCGCCATCTGTGCGACAAATAGCCAATTCCATACACGAGTCAAAACAGTACGGTAATGTAACATTACCGCACAATTTCGAAAAAACTATGCGGTAATGTAAACATTACCGCACTGTTTTGACCATAGAGATATAAGAATAGAGTGCGCGAGTCATATGCTAGCACGTAAGAGGCTGCGATATAGGAATAGAAAAAGAACGCTGCATATAGGCCCTTTCTGTCTTTGTCTACGCGTGCATGCGAAACAAAGACAGAAGGGGCCCATGCGCAGCTTTCTCTTTTTATTCTGCGCAGCTTTTTCTTTCTATTCCTATATTGCTTTTTTAGCTCGCTCGCGCACTCTATTCTTATATCTCTATGGTTTTGACTCGTGTATGGAATTGGCCATCCGTCGCACAGATGACGCGCGCGCAATAATGGGCCACTTTCCACGCACTTTGTAATATAAAATAAGATATGTAACACGTGCGGGTTGAAAATTGGACACTCGTGTGGGTAATCGCACTCCGCACTCGTGTCCAATTCTCAACTTCCCGCACTTGTTACACAAATAACTATTCTGCAACTTTAACTGTCTCAAAACTGTGACTTGATGAAGCAATTTGGTGAACTAAATTATATTCAGCGTCTTATGGAAAGAACTATGGAAAACGGTTATTCTCGTTCTTGTGCTCGAAAGAAAATAATTTTTGTTGGACAGTGTTATTATAGTTGTATGTTTTGTTGAACAGTATATTTATCCTAATCTGTAATAATATATTTACTTACTCATTCCAAACGATTGAGATCCTAATCCAGAAAATATGAAACAAATCGGTTTCCTTGTATACAAATAATGCTCTACTTTATTAATTGCATTATAAGACATTTTTAATCCTGTTATTATATATCCTCTGTAGAGATGACCTTCTATATTATCGTTATAAATATAATGTAGTAGAGATATGTATTCTGCATCTACTAATCGACTTTGTACCTATATTCAGTAAAAGGAAACATTTAGACGCTTCATCCTTTCGTGGAATAATTTTACATAAAGAACCCGGATCACACGCATGTTTCAAATCGGGAGATATGACGTTTTAGAGACATCATATTTCTAGTTTACTGGGAAAGAAAATATTGTTATTCTATTTTGCAAAAAGTATATTAATTTGTGAGTTATAAAGATGTTTGTTGTATCTCGAACCATGCATCCATGACTACTTGGTGACTTATGTATCTTTCTGCTAAAGTTGAAACTTCATTTTATATATTTAAATTCGTATTAATAATTTATTTTTATAACAAACATTTCAAAAATTATAATATTAAAATTGAATATTATATATTTAATAATATTAAAAAATTTACTCATAAAAAAAGTAAAAAATATACGCCAAGTATATATAAAAAACACTTTAAAGTTAACTTTTAAAAATGTATAAATTATTAAATAAAAAATTAATTATAAAAATTAAAAATTTAAACCATTTCTAAAATAAATAAAAT